ATTAGCTTACTGTTTGTATGAGGACTGGATAGATGATATTGCATAGACTGAATGTTTAGCTGCCTTTCGAAATTTTTGCTTTAACATTTTGTTTGTTGAAGAATAATCTTTAGTGGTCATACTTTAAAGTGGACATTATGGGACAGGGACAGGCTGTATTATTATTAAAGCCCCACTGGCAACCAGTGTAGTTGACAGAATCCCTCCAAAGCAGCTGTTTCTCATGCCAAGTCCAGAGTGAGATTAGCATGGTAATAGTAAAAAATAATTACCTTTCTTGAATTATGGTCTTCGAAAAGTTTAATTCCATAACATTGAATTAAATTCAGTTTAATCTAATAACATAACATGAAATAAGCTCTCAATGTTCCCACTTCACAAGATGGGAGACTAAGTCAGGAAAGCAGGTTATCATTCACAAGGGAAAATAATGGCTCTGGCTTCTAATTCTTATGCCAAAATCCTTGTTCTTAAGATTGGGTTGCAATTAACCTATTGTAACACTTTCATGCTGTCATCATTTATGAGGTGCATTGGAATTACCTACTAAATAAAAGAAATGTGATGTACAGAGGGATTGCAGTTAAATAAGTCAGGTATTGAGTACATTTCTTTTTGAACAGTGTCACCTCTCCCCTCATTTTCTCCAGGTTTTTTCCTCTCAATCCCCCTCCCTCCTCAAGTTACATAGTTCATTTCCAACACAGTGGTTAGTAAAAAAATTTTTAAATCAATTGATTTCAATTAAACTCAAGAATAATCTATATAGACCCACATTCACTCATCCATATTCCAATATGCTTTCAAAATAAGGAAAATATAAGTTGTATTTAACTGAATTTGAGAATACAGTCGCGGTGAGAAGTATACATTGTAGTAAAAAAGAAATTAAGAAAACTGAAGCCACATGACTGAACTGAACTTGAATAAATGCTTGAATATTGCATGGTCATGATAATATTTGTGTTAACAGGAGCAGGGGAGTATCAAGACGTAGTAACTTATTTACTAGTTACCACTAACCTCTCAAAACCCTTCCAATTTGACTTCTAGTTCAAGTAAAATACAATAATATTTGAGGTAAATATATGAACATGAGTATGTACATCCTCTGAATGAATTTGATTATAGAAGCCAGTAATTTACTGGAATGAGAAAGTGTCACAGTAAAAGTAGTCCCAGGTCTCTTGGTCCCAAGGTTGCTGCTCTTATTCATCATTAATTGTGCTTCTACAGCCATAACATGTCATTAACTGTTGTTACAACAGAGATTCCAATTTTGTCAGTAACACATTTAGTAGCTACAAAGTGGGAAGCTGGATCATCAGAGGTAGTGATATAACACAGTAGAAGCATGTGTACTATGGAAACAAACTGTACTTGAAAAGATCCAAATTGTATAGTTCATTTTTCGCATAAAGTATAGTAAATGCAATTATTTTATAATTTTATTTTAGCGCTAACATATATTTGCAGTATGCGGGGGGAGCTTCATTGTATTATTTCCATGCATACATGTAGTCTATACTGAACTGACTTACCCTTCCACCTTATTCATTTTCTGTGGCTTTATCAACACTTCTTTGTCAAATGTCATTCAGTGGGTTTTCCTGTGGTATATTCACACACACACACACACACTCACACACACACACACACACACACACACACACAGCACCCTTCAATCCCTATCACCTTTCATTTTAAAAACAAGAAATGCTGAATGCGTTCCATAAGGTAATGAGAAAGTATTTTTCTTTTAATTTCCTTCATTCCACTCTGTCTTAGATACAAGTAGACCATACAAAAGTCTGAGTCCCAACTATTTTTATGTACAGGCATATCATGCAACTCTGCAATTAAAATTAAGAAAATTTTCAGTTGCTTACAAAGCAAGAGATTGGGCTGATCAATATTACCTACTTTGTGACAGAATTTGTAATCCTTGAAAGAAATTCAAACATTCATCAAATTTGAATAGAAAAGAATGGAAATCTGACCATTGGTCCTGTCAACCCACTTGAACTTCATTTTCTTCTGTCAACAAAAACTAATAATAATAATAATTATTATTATTATTATTATCATTCCTTCCTTGCAAAGTGTTTTATGAGTCAAGTGAAGTCAAAGAAAGGTTCCATGGTCAATTATGGTATAAAAATATTAAGTGGAAAGTTCCAGAAGCAATTCATTAATCTCAAATTGCATGCCATTCTTTGTAACATGAAGAAATCTCACATCATCCCATTTGGTCCATTCCAGGGCATAAATCATGCACCTTTCTGGCATAGCCACACAGCCTACTCCACTTGAACACAAGGCACTGAATTACCTAGCATGAGATCACAATTCTTATGTAACTCTGAGTTCACTTACTAATAGCTTTGGAGGACACAATTCCACTACCATATATTATGATAGTTGTTTTATTATTAAAAGGTGTTAGCTTCTTACTGTATTTACAAAATGACATTCATCACTGATATGTATGCATGTATATGAAAAGCATAGTAGGTAAAGATGAATAAAATCCATGATTTCAGTTATTACAGATTATCTTAATGAGTTTAGAAGTGGTGGATTAACTTGTAAAAATAATGTTCTTCATAACAAGGGTGGAAAACAATATAGCTATTTTTAGCTATATATTGTGCTTTATCTGATATGCTGGAAGAGAAGAAATGTGACACTTTTTTTGTCAGTCGTGGGGCTTGAACCCAGAGCCTAGACACTGTCCCTGACCCTGAGCTCTTTTGTTCAAGGCTAGTGCTCTAGCACTTTGAGCCATAGCTCCACTTATGGTTTTCTGGTGGTTAATTGGAGATAAGAATCTCACAGACTTACCTGCCCCAAATGGCTTTGAACTGCAATCCTCAAATCTCAGCTGGGATTACAGGTGTGAACCATTGGCACCCTTTACATGCTATTTTCTTATTTAATAAAAAAGATATCATGGCAAGTTGCTACAATTATTTAATTCAGGTCCTTAAAAGGATGCTGAACTTCCTTGATAAAAGGTTACTAGACCTTTGTAGGAAAAAACAATCACAAAAATCTAGCAGACATGGAAACACCTGCCTATACTCCCAGGTTACAGGAATCAGCAGTGAGAAGATCACGGTCCAAGGCTAAAATGTATGAAATCTTAAATGAAAAACTAAATGAAGAAAATAATGTGCTGAAGGTATCATTGAAATGGGAGGGTGCCTGTCTAGTAAGTTTCAGTCTGATTTCAAATTCCATTACTACCCAAAATTATAAAATCCATATATTCTTACTCTCTATGCTATTTTGCTTTGGACTCTTCTTTTTTAATATATTTGTGATTTGTTTCTAATTGAAGTCACATAGAAACAAAGTATACTATTTAAGAACAAACACCCTCTGGACCTCCCAACCCAACCACATCATATGGATGATAGAAATGTCATAGGGGAAGCCCTTACCATGTGGAATGAATACATACCAAATTAACAATATCTAGAATGCATTTAGTTTTGTCCACTGACAATAAAGTGAAAATGCATGGGTGGCTCTTTTCAAAATAGGTTGAAAAGCTGGAGGCATTTGTGTGGCTAAGTACAATTTCCACATAAATTTAGAAAATTATGAAAAAATACCGATTTTCCATCTTAATATGTATGTTCTGGGTTGACTTTTCAACAAGACAATATGGAATATCAGCTTTAAAAGAGTGATCTTGGTAATATAGCACTAGGTCTTCAAACGGATTACAGAGTAACCAAAAACAGAAGACACCTTTGACTTATCAATTAAGTCAAGGCTAAATCGTTTCCAGGGGATAATGAAAGCATTAATTATGTAAAATTTTGTAATATACACTTAAAGCATTTATCCTGTATTTGTTGAAAGCTTAACAAGTATACCCAGAGAGGTAAATTGAATGTAGAGAAGTTCAATGGCTCCACTGTGAGTTAAGAGGCTTCACTATGTAGTCCATTATTGGATGAAGTCAATTGTCCTAGATGTTCAGAATAGCACTGAACAATATTTCTGCTTTAATGTCTATCAGAATATGTGAAATTTATCACAACCATACACTTCCTGGACACCTTGATTCTATCACAATGTGACATTAACCAAAATTATTTCTTATGAGTTTATTCTCAGCTATAAATATATCCTATTAACCTTTAAATCAATCCATTTGTCCAAAACATGTGATTACTATTAAATTAAAAATGTTTTTAAAAAGTGAATTGTTAGGTATAAAATATACATCACTTGGAATGAAGAGAACAAGTCCTATTTGGTCACATTTTTATATGCAGAAAGGTTTCACAAACAAGAATAGATTTTCAACATTCTACCCAAAGAAAGAAAAGTTGATGAAGTTCTGAGTGTGAATTACTGTGATTAGCTTATTTGGATCTCTCCATAGTGTGTACATATTAAAATATTATTTTATAACTATTAATATAAAATAATTATAAATATATTATCCTATACCAATTATTAATAATATGAATTTATATATTAATTATGTTCCATATTAATGTTTTGCATCTATGTTATATATTTTATATACTAACATCAATATGTCTTACATTATTATGTGTTAATAGTATATTGGTATATATAATGTATTACTATGACATATTGTATCAGTTATATCTTAATATATTATATACATATATTGTCTTCTACAAACATATGCAATTATTTTTCAGTGAAATGAGTTTTAAAATACAAATGAACAGAGACAATACAAAAGAACTTATGATAAATCCAATAGCAATTGTTCATCAAAGATTCTTAAACACCAAAGTATGTTTACACATATAAGCTATAAAACTCATAAAATTCTTCCTCTCCGGAGGTTTGTATAACTAATATCTTCCACTTGTTAAATTCACATGGAAGTCTCAGAATAAGCAGGCTACACAGTCACAAAGGAAGTGATAGGCGACACTTGCGATTTCAGGCAGTGAACATAGTCCCAGGCTGTGTAAAAGAATGCAGTCTCTTCTGCGTGAGGATTACAGCCCTCTCCCAACTAAAACCACGTTTTTACTCCACAGTTTCCTCATGGCATTTTTCATTTCTGCATTCCTCAGGGTGTAGATTAGAGGATTCAGCATTGGGGTTATGAACGTCAAAACGACCGTCACGGACTTGTCAATGGGAAAGGTGGAACTGGGCCTTGCATACAGGAAGATGCAGGGGACGAAGAATAGAATGACCACAGTGATGTGCGATGCACAGGTGTAGAAGGCTTTGCGTCTCCCTTCCAATCCGTGAGACTTAAGAGAGTTCAATATGATCCCGTAGGACACCAGGAGAATTAAGAAAGTGAGGGAACAAATCGCCCCTCCGTTAGCTATCATAGAAAGCCCTATGAGGTAGGTGTTGGTGCAAGCGAGTTTCAGTAAGGGATACATATCGCACACAAAGTTGTCGATGATGTTGGGGCCACAGAAAGGGAGCCGATAAATAACAAGGAACTGAACCAAAGAGTGAAGAAAGCCTCCCATCCAGGCCACCAATAGCATAAGGACACACACCCGCCGATTCATGATGGACATGTAGTGAAGAGGTTTGCAGATGGCCACATATCGGTCATAAGCCATCACCACCAGAAGGATGACTTCAGCACCAGCGAAGAAATGATCTATAAAAACTTGAGTCATACAAGCCTGGAAGGAAATGGTCTTTTTCTCATAGAGCAAGTCTACAATCATTTTGGGAGCAATGGTGGTCGAATAGACAGTATCAATAAATGATAAATAAGCCAGAAAAAAGTACATAGGGGAACCCAGGGACTGGCTGGCCATGATTGTCACCATGATGAGCATGTTGCCCAGTATTGTCACTATATAAATGAATAAGAAGGTGACAAATAGAACTTTCTGCCCCTTGGGATTCTGGGTAAGTCCCAAAAGGATAAACTCAGTCACATTGTTCTTATTTGCCATGTATTCTTCTGAAAGTGGTGCTCTTCCTCGTTTACTCACTGAGATCTACCGAGAAAAATAGAAGAAAAGAAAACCAATAGGTAATTAATTCACTTATATGTCGTTACAGGCCATCCAAGTTTCAATATTTGCCCCTAAGATGTTTCCTAAATCTAAGAATAAAACGCATGGTCACTAAAAAAATCAGAAACATTTTGAGTGCTCATTAAATGCTCATTAAACTTACCTTGAATTTCAGCATTTATCAGAGGAGGACTGAGCACAGATAAAGATATTGAATTTTCTTCAGCCACAAATGTACAAAGAAAGCACACGTACACACACACACATAAACACACAACAGTGTACACATTTACTCACAAGCAGAACAATTAGGAACCAGGATTATTGAAGGAAAAAAAATGAGTAATAAAGTTCAAAGTGAATCTATTAAAATTTGTTTAAATTGGTTATGGTTACCTAAAAATTGAATAAAGGTTTTAAGCAACATTATAATATAATACAAATAATTCTGTACTATTTGTGTGTAAATATTTGTTCATTTTAACTCAGTAATATTAGGAAAATCTTCTCCCACCTTAGATTGTTTCTTGAAATTGCTACTACCTTTCCAGTTATACAGTTATCTGAGTTCTTACCATTGACAACATTATCCTAAATAACATGATAATATTTTTTATCATGCAGATTCACCCTGTTCTAAAGGTGATTATCAAATAATTATTGAATGAATCATTTTATTCCTGAATTATTACTATTGAAAGGCCAAGAAGTTCACTCTTGAGTAAAAATGAATCATTTCCTTGATTCTCAGATATTTTGAGATGCTAATCTTCTGTGTAATATGCACAGTTCATGTTGGAATACTTAATTTCTATATTCTACCACTTTAACGCCTACATTTCTTAGTATCTGCTTTTGAGAGTCTGAATATTCTATCCTTTTCATTTTTAGAAAGTGAGCTTATACTTAATCACCTGAAAATATGAGAGTGTTTATAGAAAGCTGAGAGAAAACTGAGAAAAGAGAGATTAAAAAATAACAATGGTCCTAAATTGAATGAAAATTACGATTTGTTGGGGGATGTGGTATGTGAACTGAGTCTAGAGACAATCTCCTCCATAAGCTGTCAGTCAGGAGGTACTTAGGGAGAAGGAAAGTACTAATACCAGTGCTTGCTTCTTGGAATTTTTGTACTCCTCAGTAAAAGAATAATGCAAAAGTCATATTCTAAATTTTGATATCTGTCAATAGAAAATAACTTTCTCATGTAACTATGACTCTCTGTATAATATCTTTAAAAGAAAACAAACTTTACAACTTTGTGGGGAGGTGGGGAAGAAAAACAAAGGAGGGATTAACAATGCTCAATAGGAAATGTATTCATTGTCTTACTCATGTAACTGTAACCCCTCTGTACCATATTTTTGCAATTATATATATATATTTAAAAAAAGAAAATAACTACCTAAAAATAGAATCTCTAACTCAGGGGCTTCTGATACTTCATATATACATGATTCATTACCTTTACTCTCACTATGAATGAATGTTTGTATTTGTAATCGAACATAAATACTCACCATTCATAAGAGCTGCCAGCATTTAGAGGTAGCTTCTATAAAGGTTTCTCATGTTGACCTCTTGTGTACTTATGACTCTTTTTTATGATTGTGGGACTTGAATTCAGGGCCTGGACGCTGTCCCTCTTTTGCTCAAGGCTAGTGCTCTATCACTTTCACCTCCAGTTTTCTGGTGATTAATTGGAGATAAGAATCTCATGGGGACTTTTCTGCTGGGCTGGCTTTGAACCATGATCCTCAGATCTCAGCCTCCTGAGTTGCTAGGTGTGAGCCACCAATGCTCAGCAACTCTCATTTTTTCATAGCATTTTAAGTGTTTTATAAATATCCAGCACTAGTTTCAAGAACAAAAGCTTAAAGCATCCAGGCCCTGAGTTCAAGCTTTGGAACACACACACACACACACACACACACTCACACACACACACACACACACACACACACACACACACAGTTACTTTGCAGATAATATGCATATTTCCTATTGTGCTGAATTTTCTCTATTTTAGTATGCATTGAAATTAACCTTATACAACTTGTGCACAATTATTTGTATGCTACTTAATATAGCAATACTTACAAGATGGAGAAAGTACCTGTGTTAATAAATTATTCTTGATTCTGACATAAAAAATTTTAATTGCGTTAAAACCCTGTTTCTTAAGAAATATACAAAATCCATTCAAAGTAAGCCTGTTCCTTTTTCCCCCACTCAAAAAACAGTGAAGAGTGTTTATAAATAGATTACCTGGCTTTTCAATATTCGGTTTGATCACTTGTTCCAAAGCCAGACTTTTGAAACTGTACCATAGATCTGGAAGCTTGATATCTTAGCTTGATGAAGATCAGTCAAAACTGCCACCCTCAGTCCAGGTATGTTCTAGAAAGAAAGGGAGAAAGCAGAGCACTGAAGCTATAAATGCTTTCTCACATAGAAATATATCTCCTTTAGTGTCCACAGAGCTTTTCCATGTTCTTTCACTTGCAGAACACTGTATGGCTTCAGTTCTTGATTTATCCAGAGTTATCTTCGACAATCAACACCAAAGTTGCTTGATGAATCATCGTATCTGATCATTCTACTTGACAACACATCTCAAGAGTTAATGGTAAAATTCATTGTTGTTTATTGCCCGAATTACTTGAATGCGCCTGGTAACAGTTTGGGTCAATTGTGCATCACACAATCAAAAATGGAATTTGTTGTGTATTCCTACAAAATTGACATCATTGTATTGAGTGTCTTGTATGCTAGTGGCTTTTATTTTACATTTTCACTGTAGCATTAATAACTTGAGAGAGTCTCATGGGTAGCAGAAGGCATGGCTGGGAATTTAATAAGTAAAACAAAATATTTAACTCATAACATCTTTCCTGAGTTGTTCAAAGTGTCCCCAAAGCTACTTGCTGCCACTAAATTCACTAAGGACTCCTATCCCCAAAAGCCCTGACATCAACCATGCAATGAGTTCTATATGGGCAGAAGCTTTCCCTGGACAATCATTTCAGGACAGTTAATTGTAAAAAATAGCAATCTAAAAGCAATTCAGTTATTAAAAACATAATCCAAAAGTTGTGTCTGTAAGGACAATTTGTTTTCAGTAAATTAGCATATGTCCAAGATTTTCAAATTCAAGAGTCAAAGAAAAGCAAAAGGCTTCATGCAGGTGAAGCACACTTAAGGAGAATGTCACAAAATCATCACCAGTACATGTTTCTTGCCAACTCCAATGAGATTATATCTGCATGCATGTTCAATTCAGTTGCAAAATAAATTCTCTGGAAAAGAAATTAAAAAAAAAAAAAGCTAAGTAAGGAAGTGGTGCTGTGGGTCAAGTGGTAGAGCACTTGCCTTGAGCTAAAGAGCTGAGGGACAGCACCCAGGCCCAGAGTTCAAGCTCCAAGACCAAAAAAAAAATAAAAAATAAAAATAAGTAATTAAGACCTAGGATTAGAAAGATGAAATAACATAAAAGTCAGATTAAAAATCATGAAAGTATAAAGTAAAAAAAAAAATACATAAATAAGACAAAGTAACATGACTAACCAATAAAAAATAGAATACTGACCCTTGATTTTTATGCATTCTTTATACAATGAAGTTCTTTTCTCTAAATCTCTCTACACATCCTCCAAGATTATCATAAAACCAAACATGTGATATTCATGCATTGGTAGAACACTCAGTTAAAGACACCAAGAATAGTTCTTCAGAACCACAGATTGCTTCCTAAAAAGGAAAATAAACATTGTTCAGAGAGGAGAAGGAAGGAAGCCTGTGGAGACTGGAGACAAGGAGGGATAAGCAGACGCTCTCCAGAAGGATGGCTCACCACCAGAAACACCACAGAAGAAGGAGTAAATTGCCCAAACTTTAAAATCAAAAAGATGTCTGATCTCTGATAAAGCATGCATACAAGAAACGAATAATGCATATACTATTCTCAAAAACAGATCACTTCTTGAACTGATGAGAATGACAAGAAATGAAAAGTAGTCTTGGAAGACACAACAGGAGAAAACTTTTAATGGAAATAAAGGGAAAAAATGATCACACTTTGGAAATAAAGTATGACAAAAATCTCAACATTACCCTTCATTTCTCCACTCGCAAATTTTACTATGCACAAAAAGTAGAAAGGAAATAACACTGATCCTGATGCAGTGTATTCATAAACTGATTGGTTATATAGCACCTCCTTTATACAGCCACTTAAAGATAATAAAAAATTAAAAATATTTGTAAGATGTATCAACACTTCAACAATCACTGCAAATAATCACAAGAACAAATATGTGGAATCATGTAAATGTCCACAGATAGATAAATGAATAAAGAACTTGCATATAAATGCAATGAAAGATTAAGTCCTTATTTATGTGGAACTAAAAATATCTCAAATCAAGATTAAAAATCGAACTAAAAGCTATAGTGAGGGTGATGGACAAATGATCAAAAGACAGAAAATTTCAGTTAAACAAGAAGAATCACACACACATATACACTACAAGGGGGACTTATTGGAAAGAAGAGGAAAGGAAGGAGGGAGGAGGATAAAATTAAGAGTAAGAATGAGTAAATCTGCTCAAAGTACGTTAAAGACATATACAAAATTAATTTCCTTATGATGTGCAATCACTCTATTGTAAAAATCATGAGCAAAAATAATCATAATCAAATTGATAAGCCAATTAACACAAAGAAGAAAATTTATTCACAAATTTTACTCATGTAACTGTAACCCCTCTGTAAGCATATTTACAATAAAATAAAAATTTTAAAAAGAATCTATAATACAACATTGTAGCTAAAGTGAATTAAGGCACAGTACAGGAAATGAAGCTGTGGCTCAAGTGGTAGAGCACCAGCTTTGAGTGAACAAGCCAAGGCCCTGGTTTCAAGCCTCAGTCCCAGCTCAAAAC